TCTTAGCTTTTCGTAAAGAGGAATCGCTCTAAAGGTGAAAAATTTGCGCCTACAGTTTAGTTTTGCTTTACCCAGATAATATTTATTAGCACTACCTCGGGTAATAGAGGGTCTCAGCGGAACGAGGCTTTCCAACTTGACACTTTCGCCGCGCATGAGTTTGTGTAGAAGTAAAAGATCATTTCGCTTTCTCCTGTTTGCAAGAGTGCTTAGTCCAAAATTCCTATTCCTAGCTTTACTACAGGGAATTTGGTCGTAAGAAAACCCAAGGACGCGTATCATAAGTTTCCTTGTGAAGTTGTTTTGAACCCTCTCCAACATATTTATCACTTTAAGCTTATAAGGGCTAAACACAGGAGTGCCATATTCAACAATAGGTCTTACGAAAGTTTTGTAGGCAAGAAGAAGCACCGACACGTTTCTGGTCGAAAGAGCTCTGAACAAGTTGTGTGTTAATGCAGTGGCTTTGTTGGCTATCATTGAGCAATGTGCATCAAAATTCAAACTATCTGAGACCAGAAATCCCAAGTCATGCACTTCGTGTGCACTGCTAAGAACTGTGCCGTTCATGGTATAGGAGTGCCTGGCGTTGCTAGACCCTAAGTGGAGTACCCTCGATTTAACGTCAGAAAGTGGCAGATCCCATTGCTGTGACCACTCAAGTACTGTATCATATATATTTATTAAATAACAAAACAGCTTCAAAAACTTGTAAAGCCTTCGGCCTTGCGGTTCCATGCCGATATCTAACGATTACGGCTGACCGGCTCACCAAGTTAAACGTGTGAGTGCTGTAAGGTTACGGCATAAGCCGTTAAGCTGAGAGGGTAAAAGCGGCCCTGGTGGCGTAACGGATAGCGCACTCGCCCGGAAAGCGTGAGGTGCGGGTTCGACTCCCGCCTGGGGCACGACTTTTGCCCACAACTCAGCATTCTTGTGATAACATTCGGAACGCGTACTGCGGCGTTAAACAGCAGTTATCATAACAAAACAGCTTCAAAAACTCTTTGTTCCATAAGGAAACTTTCTAACAGTTTATTTCTTTCGAACACTGACACTGTGCAGCCAGTGAAATCAATTATTGCATATTTTTAGCTAGCCTCTTGAAATTTCTGCTGAAATTATTTGCAGATTGACTTAGATGACGAAGAAAGCGATCCGAACTTGACTGCATCGTATGTTGAGAGTGTTGTGGCTCGTGTTAAGGGTGATCCGCTATACTGCAATACAACAGCCTGCTTGGACAACACCGGTTTGAAGGTATAACTTTCCAATTGCAAAGAATTAAAATTCTAAGAAGACATGGACTGGCAGAACATCGATGTTGTGGTTTTTAATGTGAGCAAAAATATTTTCTATTACTAGCCATAACTCGTACAAATCCATGATAAAGCAATAGCTGTGTACCCATGTTCATAGGCCAGCACGGATCTTGAAAAGCCGAGCGCACTTCATTTGTGCTACAGATGCTAGCGCACCGAATGAGTTTATTCTTTGAATGGGTAGAATTTTCGTTAGTCAGAAGCTAAGAAGCAGTTTCCCGAAAATTGTAAAAAAAAAACCGGTATACAAGTTAGAGTGCACACGTTCAACGGAAGGTCTTCAGGTAAGGGAGGGGGGAGGGGAGGGGTGGCACAGGTCAGCACCTCGCGCTTCTTCCTCGAACAAGGTCTAGGCAGCGTTCAGACTTCACGACGGCAACGCTTAGACCACGCGTTTGACGCGATCGATGCAGTTGAAAGCATGCGCATCGATCGCGTCGAACGCGCGACCGAAGCGCTGCCGTCGCGAAGTCTGAACGCTGCCTTAGGCTTTGTGTATAACATGTCCCTTCCGTGAAACTACGTCTCGGCGACTCTTGTCTAATCTGCGCTCTAACGGATATGTAGCTTGCGCTCTAACGAAAGTCTTGATCAAAGGAAAGGGAGCAAAAGCGGGGTTGTGGTCTCTTACAAGACATTTTAGATGGGCACCTTCGCAAGGCAGATGCATGACGCTTTCTACATGTATGCATCCGCTCTCAGTAGAGCAGATTCTCTCAAGCCAGATGGTCGGAAAGACGCTCTTACTATGACAAGAGCAATGCAGGGTTCATTTCAAGGTACACGACTGAATTGTGAGATTATTATATTTGGAGATCAGTTGGTTCGCTACAGGGCTCACCGGACAGGTTACCTTGGACTCGCATACCGTTAGAGTTCCTCATTAAGTGGTATACGGTATCAACAGAAATGGTCAGCAGGAGGCTTTTATGAGGATGTCGCTGCCGACTGGCCATGTCAACGTGGTAAGTTTCCGAGCACGGCACGTCCTGCCAGGGGGGGGGATTTTGCGCGACGTGTCTCCAAGAATTTCTCTTTTGATACCGACCCACCGACATAATTTGACCCCTGAGGGTCGCCGAGGCGCGTCGTGCTCCGGTCTCACGTAACCTTTTGAAGTAGTACAATTGAATGTCATGAATACCTTAAGAACGTCACTCTTCTCTACAACAATGAAGCGACCTCGATATGGGAAACAAGAGGAGGAAAAAGGTCAGTTGTACGTCGCCTTCGCTTTGAAACTCTTCTATGCACCGTCTTTAGACCTCGGACGATATCATTGTGCGACTATACGGGGACTGAGTGCCCGCTGTCTTTTTGGGATCAGTATCTCGTTCATAATCGCTGGAGGTTCTCTAGCGTTCGTCGCACTTACGGTAATCTGCACTGTTAGGTAAGGGATATCAGCAAGTGGCTACAAGCTTTCCGGACGCGGATCGGCGACGAGGGAGCATTTTGCACCTTCGCTGCTTCACTAGTTCCGGTTTACAAGTCTCACTCTGGTGAAACCTGTGAACTCTTGTGAAGCTGGAGCAAGCTCGTCGAGCTATCATAATAAAACCTGTCAACTGCGATAACGTTGCAAAAGGGCTCTCTAGAGGTTCAACACGTCGATTGGAAGTAGCAAAAACGCAAAATTCCTCCTTCTCCCTCGTTCTCCCCCGTTGCCGAACTGCCCCTCTGGAACAACTTCATTTCAGATCCAAGAGGAAAGAGTTGGAAAGACTAAGCGCTGAATGGCACATACCTTCTGTCACGCTTGTTCCCATCAAAAAGGCTTAATTGTCCCATTCAAACATACACAGTCTTGTTCGCTACGTATGCTGGGGCGTGTCAAGGGGTTGGATTCGAGATGCCAATCCTTCCTCTACCAGTTGTGGAAGAGGGCAAGCAACAATAATTGACTGGCGGCTGGCGCTGCGCCGAACTCAGCCCACTCGCATGCCTCAGCATCCGCAGCGAAAAAGACGCCAATAAACGGAGCAGTAATTATTGCAGGTGGACCGGCGCAGTCGAAGATCGCTCCAGTCTGGTCCTTCAACGATGACGGGGACAGCACGTTTGATGGTGGTAAGAGCAAGTTAGAGCTATTCTCCATCAACAAGGTGACTGGAACAACTCCATCTTACTGATTTCAATATTCTCGTTCTCTTTAGGAGCTGGTACTCGTCACCAAGCACAGTCCGTTGCAGCTTACACCTGCTGAGAAAACAGCTTTTGTCAAGGTTTATCGCTCCTTTGAAGATCCAAACGTTGTTCAACATAAGCAACTTGCTTAACTTACAGCTACCAAAAATTGAGCACGACAATGTGAACAAATTCATAAGAGTCTCCCGATAGTAACGATTTCATGGTGGTATGGAAGATGTGCTCACGTGAAAGTTTGCAGGTACAGCCCTTAGCGTGGAGCAATGAGAGGCGTGGTCGATTCAGACGAAAGAGAGGCAGAGACATATGCATAAGAGAACAGTATCCTAACGGCAGTACACAGCGGTTGCCGGACATCTCTTTAAGCTGCGTTCATACTTCGCAGCAGCGTCCACCAGCGTTCCGAGCTTCCAGCAGCGTTAGCGACTAGGAAAGTATAGGTATCGATCTAGCGTCTGCCAGCGTCCACCAGCGATCAGCAGCGTCTCAAGGGATGGGGAAGTACAGGTATTCATCTAGCGTCTGCCAGCAACTAGTAGCAATCGCGACTGGAGAGTATTTGGATATAGCAGGGTAGCCGACTGCTGGGAGAGAGTATGGCGCGATAGGAGGACATCAGCTGGTACCCTCCCATCGCCCCATACTCTCCAGCAGAAGTTTGCTGCTGGTCGCTGGTTTGCTCTGGCAGGCGCTAGATCGATCACTATACTTCCCTAGTCCTCGAGACGCTGCTGGCTGCTGGCGACGCTGGTAAAAGGTAGCAAATGCGAGATCGATATCTATACTTTCTTAGTCGCTGACGCTGCCGGAAGCTCGAAACCGTTGTGGACGCTATTGGTCGCTGGTGGACACTGCACAAAGTATGAACGCGACCTTGCGCCCCTTTACGGGGAACGTCTTCTCTGAGTGATGCTACGGAATTGAGAGTGTTCAAGTTCGCGACTCGATTTTCTGATTGAGTACCTCAAGTGCAGTGACTGATGACTGGCAGCTCTCAACCGCTACTTGTCACGCCGCTTCAACTTCTAATGTGCTTGCGTCCGCGTAGAATGCGGCAGTTTGTTTTGATGTCAGCCCAAGAATGACTCACATTCATGAGGACTTTCGATTACCCCAGAACGAAAGTCAATAGCTCCCGATGGAAAAAGGCCGTGGTGGTGAACGCTAGAGTCTTATTGTTTCTGAAGTCGTTGAACTTCTCTTCAAATCGCTTTCCGGAAGCCACGAACCTAAATTTGCTATTCATTAAGGTATTTTCGGTAACCATTTCAGAATATAACTGCCAAAGGTACCTTCACGTTTGATTCCTTTTTCATGGTCTGCATCATAAGAGACATCGCTGAGGTAGGTGCTCCTGAGCCTATCCATAGCTTCATTGCTTAGGCTGCGTTTATACTTTGCGGCAGCGTAGCGTAGCGCTTCCAGCGTACGCCAGCGGCAGTGCCGGGGAGAGGATGCATATCGATCTAGCGTTCCCAGCGTTTCACACCAGCCGTACCGCAGTGACGTCAGCGTGTCACTGAGCGTCTTTGCTGCGTTGGCGCGGCAGGGGAGGGCAGGTAGACTTATGGGGCCGGCAAGAGACGACGGCAATCGATGTGTATGGTAGAGACTATGTGGCCGTCAGAGACGCGGAATCGATGTGTATTGTAGAGACTGAGGGCGAGTGAGAGACGCGCAATCGATGTGTTTTGTACCCTCCAGCTCTCCCATAGTCTCTACTCCCCTGCCGCTGGTGAAACGCTGGAGAAACGCTGGCGTACGCTAGCGTGACGCTGGTGACGCTGGGAACGCTAGATCGATATGCATCCTCTCCCCGGCACTGCCGCTGGCGTACGCTGGAAGCGCTACGCTACGCTGCCGCAAAGTATAAACGCAGCCTAAGAGGTGTACAGTCCAACGGTAAACACCCTCGATCAACTAACGGATTAGTCAGAAAAAAATTTCCAACGGCAAAAAATTGCCCCCTCTCTTCAGCGGCCAAACGCAAATCCCCTATGTTTTACGCTCAGCATTGAGCCCCAGCGCATCGTTAAGAGACGGTCCCCAAGCGACCAATCACTCACTGAAAATGATCTGTCGAGGTCCAGCTAGGTACATCCGCGGCTTAGAATGTGAAGAGTTTTTTGTTCAAGGTGATGCCCTCTTTTCTATGAAATTCCGCGAATGTTCGTCCTACACTCCTCTCTCCATGGCTTACGCCTTTGAGAGCTGCAAATGAATGAAATCTTCTGAGCTATGCAGCAGCACAGGCTTCGTCTACGCTTGAATAGAGTCTGATCCAGGTGAGAAGTGTAAGGTAGCAGCATTTAGTAAAAGAAATTAGCGAAGTAGGTGAACGCCCCTACCTGAGCTCTGAGCAGAAGAGCGACAAATTTTTTGCGTTCACTATTACCGGAGTCTCAATAAAGGACATGAGATTTTCAGGCGGTTGCGTAGCAGGTGTGGTAGGGCTCAGTATGCCTCGTTATTGTCTCTTCGGTGACACCGTGAACACTGCCTCAAGAATGGAGAGCAATGGAAAAGGTATTCATTAAAGATTACCTGCTTTCTTGAGAGGTGTTCTCGAAGAAATCCGTTCAGGTAGTCATATCCATCTTTCACAGTTGTCCCACACTCTTCTCATGGAGACATTTCCTTCAGACTACAAAACCGAGCGTCGAGGCGAAGTGATTATAAAGGTGAGGCTGTTAGCAAATCTCACTAATAGGGAGGGCGGCCTAATCAAATTCCGCAACCAATTAGCTAGCTCTGTGTCGAAAGCCTGATTCTTGAACCGCTGCAACTTACGTAGAATCTCGCCATCAGAAAAGTGTTGTTAACAGAGTCCGATTTTCGTTTGCAACACAATTACATCAAGGATATACGATTGAAGTTTGTTGTGATTTTGATCATTTTTCTCCCTTGAATTGGACAGTTAGATGCGCAAAGCTAGTATTCTCAAATGCTCAATTAGCGGTGACATGAGCGATTACTCCCTACACCTTCTCCTCCACTCCCTCCACCCACCTTTCCCAGCAGGATCCGAGCAAAAAAGGTGGACATGAGCCGAAAAGAGCTTCCAATCTATGAATCTCCAGATCGAGGAAGCTGTTAAAGGATAGCTCTCAAATCCTATAGCATACTAGTTGGGTACCTCGGGCGTTTGCAGCTCTGCGGCCAAATGTACTTTACGAAACCCACGTTGGGGAGGGCCAAGCTAGCGGAGTACTTCCTAGCTAATAAATTAGACATGTTGGAGCGCTACCAGATCACAGGCATAAGGTACGATAACTTGATTGCCTATTT